AAGCACGTGTGGTCGTGTAGATACAATAGACTTAGGATGCCGTACACAAGCACGTGTGGGCGGCGTGTGGTAGTTTCAAACTTAGTAATTGTATGTTCTTTCTGAGTTGGTAGTTTCGCTTCAGTTTATTGTGCGCTAGAGGCTCACAGTGATGCCTTGTATAGTTCGGTACTAGTCGAACATTTATTTTACCTACAGCGATCGTGCTTTGCTTACATCCGGATTCTTTTCCTCGGATGGTTGATCTGTATTTCTATTATATCCTGAGTCAGTTCACATCACGGGCCTTTCATGGGTGCTGACCAACCACACCACCCAGTTAAATAGTAGTCCTTATTGTCTGTAGTTGACCCGCGTAACTTCTGTGTATAGCGCGACCTTGCTACATCGTTGATACTAATATCACAGTCGTAGAGTGACTGTATGCCGAATATAATAGGTCAACTATACAGTAAGCCAGATATTTAAACTTGTATTGCTCTCCATCATTTCATGTCAATCGATATTAGGTATCAATTCAAGCCTATAGTGGCCCGCCCTCAGAACACGATCGGTCACTTAAACAGGACACCTGGTACAGTGTTCTCAATACTTCGTTCCAATCAAAAATATAAGCGTATAGTGATAGGCTGCGAATAACATTGCCTGGTGTTTACCGCTACCTCATCATATCATCATCCGTATCAAATAATATTTAAGCCTATAGTGATGGCGTGCGGAAAAAGAATGGAGTTCTCCCACAAATGACTTGGGCAATAGGTAGGTAGCATGTATCGCATTCTCACTACTATGGTCTCGTTGTGCTTAATTATTACTTCAGTCCTATAGTGATGACATGCAGAATAAGATTGACCAGGAGGTGCGCCGCTTGGTCGACGAGGCCTCACAGAGGGCCAAACAGCTTATGATTGAGAACAAACAACTGGTTGAGCAGGTGGGTGGTGACATAGTACGTGCATATGTGTTGGAGGAGCTTATGACTGGCAAGAAAAAAATGGATGTGTACGTGTGTTGCTGCGCACACGGTGTCGTGCGGACGTGGCTGATAGCAAACGACTGTTTGTGCAGGTACATGATGGCATTGTACCTTGTGCACGTGTGTAACTAAGCACACGGTTGGGTGCAGATATGACTGATGTCAATCAACTGGTTGAACAGGTTTAAGATGGGTTCGTATATGTGTGCGTGTTGAATCAACTATCTATTAGGCCTGATAAATAACAGCTGGTAGAGCCGGTGTATACTGATATGCCTGCATATGTGTTGAAGTAGCCTATGACTCAAAAGATGTGGACGAGGTGTGTGGTAGACCTGTACATTTTTTGTGGTCATATTTATGTTCATGTTATTATATAGACGTGTGTGGGCGTGGGTGTTGTAGGTCCGAGTTGATCATTTTTGTGTGTACCAATGGCGTCACAGCAGTCGCGTGCTAGTAGGCTTTTCACCTGTTATTTTTTTATCAATCGACGCGAGCGCAAGGGGTGCACACGTATATCTCCTGCACTTTTGACGGCATTCTCTTAAATTGGCAGCTCAGGAACAGAAATGTTTGTGTATCTGTTCGTAGAGAGTTATGCATGTTTGTATAGATATCTACCCTATATAACATAGTGCGGGGGGTTTTACCGCTGAGTATGTATACGTGCAGTGCTGATACTGGCCTATAAAGTTCTCTAATATCTCTTGACTTGCAGCTTCTATTGTTGGAAGCACTCATTCTGTCGGCCTTGGTCATGTTGTGTTGTAGGTCGCTCAACAATTATTAGCAAAAGAGACGCTCCATTACGCAGATCTGGAGGAACTAATGGGCAAACCACGGTTTGATAAGAAAAGCCCGTACGAGACAACTAAGCTGAAGTAGTTTAGTGGTAAACTGCTAGGTCTTTACAGTGTCATTAAATGGATACATGAATTTACTATTGTATAACTAGCGAAAATCGATAATTTACTTTTAGCGCAGAGTCGCAGTCGCGCAGACCCATTTCGAAATATATTATTGAAGAAAAAAGGCCGCAAAAATGAAATTATCGGTAGTCCAAAAAAGTTCAATTTATTTCACATAAATACAGCCATTGTGTTCATTGATTGTTTGTTTAAAAAAAAAGAAATTTGTTTTAAAAAGAAAAGAAAAGAAAATCCGATGGAAACAATAAACATTTGAAGAAAAATATGCCATGGCAGTTGGCACTCTCACAATTCACTGATTTGGACCAGCCTTCCAGAGTACTCCAATGGTTTCTGATACTTTTAGTAGAAAAAAATACACATTTTGTACAATTTATTTTTTCTAAAACAAATATTTAGAATCAAATAATTTTTTAAATTTCTGAGGACAATAAAAACCATGCTTTTTTTATGGTCTTTTATTTTATGCCTTTTTGGGCTGAATATTACTCTTATCGTTGTCCGAAGTTCCGAACTCAGGATATGACCCAATTCTGAATTCTCAAAATCATTAAAAAAAACAAAAAAACAAAATCATGTTTTATTTAGTACATAGGCTATGCAAATCATTCAATCAAAATCAATTTTCAAAATCAAATTGTCCGTATTTGGTAATAAATATTTGTCCTATTTAAAAAAAATTGTCATACACTTTTTGAAAAGGGTTGTCCACTGCGTTCCCTGCCGTAAACCTTCGGCCAATCAGAAGACCCCAACAGTTGTTCACCTGTTAGGTGTCCACATTTTAGGCTGTGACAAACTGGGTCTGGGTCATGTAGCGAGGAGTCGAGGACTGACTGTAAAATGTTATTAGTTTTTTTAAACAAAAACCATAAAAATACGAACAAACAGGTCGCTTAGAGTTAGAAGTCTATGCGGCACAGTCCCCACAGTCGGCACAGATCAGATTTTTTTGCTTTTAAATATTTTTACATATTCTTTATATTTACATATATTTTACATATTGTTTTTTTTAAACAAATACATATTTTTACAATTCTGACAAATCAGAATTTTGATGGCACATTGATTATATTTTCGTGTGTTTTTGACTTTTTGTCGGAATCCAAAACAGTATTTAGTTGTTTTACTTGGTATCTTCTTTTTGTTTTTTAAAATACAAAGAGTACAAATTGTTCATTTTAGGAGGCTATTTAAATATTTTATGTACAAATGCTAATAAATTTTGAAATGGTATTTTACCGCTTGCGTCAGTTGAGAGGGAAAGAAACAAACGAGCAGAAGGGCAGTTTTATTTCAAAAACAAAATAGAATAAATACCTAAATACGAATTATGAAGGAGATACATGAGGGTTTTAGGGGGGGGGGGGATAAACGAGGTTTTAGAAATAGTATATTTTCTAAAGCACTGTAGTTGGAAAGCAGGATGTGACAGTATTAGGAAATTTGAAAAATATATATAATGCTCCGATTTTGAATCCAGGGGAATACAATGAGGTTGGAAACCAGAGGAGGGAATGGACGATTTGGAATTAGAAACTTAGCCTTCTAAATTTTTTAAAAGGCTAGTTAGAAATCAGAATAAGGAGTTTGAGGTGTATTATCGGACTTCTGTTGAGCTCTTTATCTGGACCTTGTTTAAAAAAAAAAGTATATATAGTTCTTAGGGACATTTTTAAAATAGCTATGCTTTTAGTGGGACCAATGCATGAAATCTCATAAACCCTAAAATAATAAAAACAATAAAATTTACGACTGTATGTATGTCAACATGTCCAGTATGTAATAAATCTAAACGACATACGACATGTTTCAGACGACACGTCGCGACGGTCGTTTACATGTTGTTTTTTTCAGACTACATGTGGCGACCTCATACCAGCCCAGAGTAGAGAGACTCTCTACTAGTCTCTACTACTAGTAGAGAGTAGAGAGAGAGAGTATAGTAGCGAGCACGAGGTAAATATAGAGTAGGATTGGGGAGAGTGGACTACTGGCCTTATAGTGTGTGAAGAGACTGGGCCCCTCTGGAGAGTGGGGGGAGAATAGTTGGAGCCTGGACTCTGGAGAATGGAGAGTTGGTGACTAAATTCTAAAGTAAGGAGTAAGGACTATTATTGTGGGTTGTAAATATTTCTAAAAAATATTTGTTCGTAGAGAAGTCCGGAGGTCGGAGGACGGAGGGTCGGAGGCTATGCAGTATTTTGCTCATATCTACTCCCATACGGCAGTCTAAATCCCGTAAATATTTATTGAAGAGGTGGTCCTCAATATTTAGTTATTTACCAACTTCTGTATACAGGATTCTTCTCGACTCTCGAGAGTCTATTCATTTATGCAAGTATTTTATTGATATACAAAAAAAATGAAGAGAATATTGGGATTTTTATTTAAAACAAAACTATATACGCGCCCTTTATTTTTTAGTTATAAATAGGTCTATTAACTTGGTCCCTAATATGATATTTAAAGCCCCACAAACTAGGCGCTCGAAGGCCCAAGGCCCAACTCCCAAAGGCCCCAAGGTTAAGCCAGGGCCAACACAATTAGAGAGAAAGGCCCGACGCCTAAAAATCAAGGGCGCTTTCTGAAGTATTTTTTTTGCCTTTTGGGAACTTGGGACTTCTTGAAATTGGGACAGTTGGGAGACACTCAAATGTTTTTAGTGATAAAAATAAAGACAAGTCAAATCAATAGGAGTAAACTAAAATTTGATTTGATTTCTTTATAGTGCCCTTGCACCCTGCTATTCTGCTAAACCAATACATTGAAATCAAATTTGCATATCTTACCTGAAAAAATATCGATAAATATTGAACATAGCCTTCTATTCCAAAATTAAAAAAATACTCTCAAACTCATTGCCAAATAAGGTTATATTTACTAGCAGACATCTACATACTATATATTGAACACGGACCAATAACAAGTAGGCGGCGGAACAGCGCGTGAAATAGTCTACTTTATAGAGAGAGACCAGAGAGAAAACTTATTGATAGTCAGAAATGGAAAAACAAACAGCATTCTAAATATGTCATTTCATATGGCCATAGCATATACAAATAGAAGTGAGATCCTATTTTGTAGACACACTTTCATCAAGTTCAGAAGTGCAAAGCAACACTGTGACTTAAATGAGAATGAAGTTCGCATACGCACTGCATGCTGCAGTGATATGTGTGACGTCGGCCGCTCTAGACGACACCTACAAGCCTGCGTCAGACTTCACGAAACAATCAATCGCTGACTCTGTTGTCAATCTTGACTTTTCAGATTTCACGGTCTTTGAGAATGTAGACCGAGGATTTGTAGTAGCACCGGAAAGTCTTAAAGTTGTTGACGAGAATGGTAGTGTGGCATCGAATCCCGACCCCTTTCTGGCGATGGTTAGCAATGACAAGCCGTGTCCAGAGAGTGTCAATCCGTCTACCTGGCAACAGGCCCAGATGATGTCCAGAGTGGGAGTATATAAAGTTATGGACAAGGTGTATCAAGTCCGTGGATTCGATTTGGCCGTGATGACCATAGTTGAAGCACCTCTCGGTCTTATCGTGTTCGATCCTCTGGGCACCAAAGCAACTTCGAGAGCTGCATTCGACTACTATTTGAATGAGGTAGGACCAAACACGGGAGCGAATCTGACACTAGCCGCTGTAGTATACACCCACTCCCACATGGATCACTTTGGTGGGGTGCTAGGTCTAGTGGATGATGAAATTTGGGCTCAAGGAAATATCCAGATTGTTGCGCCTCTTAATTTTGCAGAAGAGGCATTATCTGAGAACTACATGGTGATTGGTAATATGGGTAGACGAGCATGGTGGCAATTTGGCAATCTTCTACCGGCTAATGAAAACGCAAGTATACATGCTGGTCTAGCGTTCACACAAGCCAACTCAGTATTTACTTTTGCTGCAGACACGCTCGAGATAAAAGAGGACATCGAAACACACACCATTGCCGGTGTAACGTTCGAGTTTATGCTCACTTTGAGTGCGGAGGCACCCGCCGAAATGCACTCGTGGGTTGAAGACTGGGGGTTGCTCAATACTGGCGAGAATGCCGTCATGTCCACACATAACTTTTTAACACTCCGAGGAGCGAAGGCCAGGGATACAATGAAGTGGTCGACGGCTATCCAAGAAACCCTCCAGAGATATGGTGATCGGGTGCAAGTGTTGATCGGTCAGCACCACTGGCCAAAGTTTGGTAACGGGGCCGTCGTTGAGCATCTCACCATGACTCGCGACTACATCAAATTCACACATGATCAGTCAGTTCGCCTACTCAATCTTGGATTCGGGATGGAAGAAATCAGTGAGACCATTCAAATGCCAAAGTCCCTGGACTCGTACTTTAACACACGTGGTCACTATGGTCACCTTAAACACAACTCCAAGGAGGTATATCAGTTCTACGTTGGCTGGTGGGATGGTAACCCCGCGGCTTTACAGCGTCTGCCCCCGGTAGAGAGAGCCCAGCAATTTGTAGCTGACATGGGTGGGATCGAGGCGGTAATGAAGCGCGGTCAATGGCATTATGATAATGGTAACTACCGATGGTGTGCTGAGAGTATGAACCAGGCTGTGTTCAGCGATCCTTCGAATATGGATGCGAAATATCTTCAAGCGGACTGTATGGAGCAAATCGGCTATGCAGAAGAAAGTGGTATCCGTCGAAACTTCATGCTGACGGGTGTTCAAGAGCTACGTCATGGTAAATCGGCGTACCCTGAGCCTGCTTTGGACGCATCGTTCCTGTTGCAAATGCCCTTATGGATGATGTTGCAGAGTTTGGAGATCATAATTGATCCCATAAAGGCCGAGAAGTCCAATGGTTTGTCACTTAACTTGGAGGTGAAAGATACCAACGAGAAGTTTAACCTAATCATATCTCACGCCGTCCTGGTCTCGATTGCTGTTGATGAACTACCTACAACTGCCCGTGTCACCCTTACGGCTGATAGCAAGCTGGCAATGATACTTGCACTAACTAACGGGGATACCTCTGGTGTGAGTGTTGCAGGAGACCTGACTGCCTTCACAGAGCTTATGGGTTGCTTGTCCACTGTATCAGATGGAACTTGGAACATCATAGAACCGAGAGAATTCTACGAACCGAAAGCTCAAAATACTTACCCTCAATCAGAGGATCTGGCATCGTCAGAGGAACAAACGTCTTCCTCCTCTAGCGACGATGACGGTCTCTCCACTGGTGCTTGGGTAGGTATTTGTATTGCCTGTGTCGTAGTTAGTGGTGCTGTGGGAGCTTTTGCGATGAGAAAGATGTCAAAGTCACGAGAGTCCAACTCCATTACGGAGTCTACAACCGACCTTTGAAGGAATGAAGTGTAAGCTAGTACCTAATTTTAATAAAAAAATGAATTCACCATATTATAAACGTTCAGACTGATTAGGAGAACGCGAGTATTGTTTATATGTTGCACACAATATACAACTTTATATGTACATATATGAATGCTTAGATCTAAACTCGTATTACACACATACATATACATCCATGCATGTTATACTAACTACATACATGCATACATTTTTGTACACACACACATATATATATTTCTATTTATATATATATAGTATACTCTCATCAACTACTATTTATTTATTACGTATTATACATCTCCGGGGAAGCTCTACCGGTCTGACCTTATCAGTTGCCTTTATCTTTTTAGTTGTCTTCATTGGTTTGTATCGCATGGGCACCGGCTACGTTAACGCAAGTAATAGGCACAATCAGCAGTGCATTGTCACCAGATGTCACCGTTTGGTGTCCTTGATGTCATGGCCCGTTACAGTTCACGTCACTTTTGCAAAGACAGCAATGAAACTGTTGCAATCCTTTAAGATGGATTCGACGTGTCACACAAACGGCAACATAGCTGGTAATAAAGACCACCGAGTGAACATAGTACCAACCCCCTTGCAATCTCAATCCCTCCCCAACCCTTGGTCGAAGAATATCTGCCAGCATTTGTTGCAAATTTGCATGTAAGACTATTTATATAACATTTTTTGTTGTCGCAAGCAGAACTAATACTAGTACAAATCAGCATTACTACGGAATTTCTGTTCGACGACAGTATCCTGTTCGTCCACAGCATCAAGCTGAACCCTGACAGCATAAATACCTTCGTCGTATCGTACTGTTCTTTAATATCTGAAACGTATCTTCAGGAATATATCGAGAAAACCTCCCTCTCGCGGAGCAACGAATTGTGAGGAGTGGTCGCCACCTGCCCTAAAATACAATATACTTCGAGCCGACGTTACCAACCCGAAGACTATAAATATATCCAGGTCCTATCAGAGGATAGCGACTGCAAAACAACATCAAAGATTGAAATAGTATCAACCTAACTAACAGTCAATTTATTTTATTATGTAGATTACTCAGTTGCAATAGGATATCCTGACTCTATCCAATATAAACCCAGGACTAATATCCGTACGAAGGACTAATATCCGTACGATGGCTCGCAATCGGCAAACCGGACATCTGCGCATTCAGCAGTGTCCGTGTTCAAGGTCAATGGGCACCATCCGTCTGCGTTTGCGGGGAATTTGGCCCTACCTGCTGTGTGGAACCCGATAGTATCGCAAACAGAAGTCACACTCAGGGGCATATTCATTGTGCAATCCACCATGCAGCTGCCTAGACCCGGCCTTTTCTTGATCGTTGAGAGACACCCATTGATTTGGCAGCGTCACAGTAAAAGCATCTGGACGTGAAGTATTCGGTGTTGAGCACAGGCTTATCCCTGTATTCGGAGGGAACACGGATACAGTATTCAAATTAACAACGGTTTCAATGCCTCAGCATGCGCAGTATGTTTCCTATCATATTTTCGAGTCCTCATTTGAAGGAGTACCAAGAAACGAATAAAATGATCAGTAGCTGAAGGATATCAGATGAAAGTTTTCAAAGAGTGCAGCTATATTTTTACCGAGCCGATGTAAACGACATTGTCATCGCTTTGATGCTTGAAATATGGTAGACTCTATGTCACCTTGTTGTTTGTCTTATCTGTGGAGGAAGGGCCAATAATTATCAGTATTTCCGTTGATGAAGGCTTCCTCGTTTACCACCTTATCGTATGTGTCACTCAGAAGGAACGCGAATTCATTCGAATTCTTCAGTGCTACGGACATGCCTCGTGCATGTGCCTGTCTCACACACCACTTATCAAACTGCAACTGAAGAGTCAGGTCAATGTTTCCCTGTATTTGGAGAGAGCATATATACCGGAACGGGGTAAGAATGCATGCGGTATCAAAGGTTGTGATCACATTAAAAAACCGATAAATATAAACACCCACCTCTAGTCCATGTTCCTGAATAATTATGTCCGGATTGTCCAACTCCAATGCATCGCATCCCTTTGCCTTTGCAGCATCGAAGCGATCCATCATTATCGGTCCGATAATATCAATTCGGCGCAGATCTAACCAGGCCTCGTCGTTGAATACATCACCAGTACCAAACAGTAGAGGTCCACCTTTAATAAAATCAGGAAACAAGGCCTGATCCGCTCTCCAATCCTCATAACTTCCAGCCGAAAAATAGCACAGCACCTTTCGCCCTGTGATCACGACATAAAGTACTTGTCAAACACAATTTAAAAGCTATAGAACAAAAATTGAACTACACACCGAACTGATATAGAAACGCAACGTCTCAGAAGTTCTCAGAACTTAACCGTGTCCATCTATTTGCAAGCTCGCAAATTTACCTGCTGCGTGGAGAGACGCTATTTTACTAGCGGGCGTATCGAAATCGACATCGTATAGTGGGACATCATGCGATTCGTCGATCGTATCCTGTAATTACCACTGCCACCTGATTCCTTTTTTGGGTCTGAATCTTTCCTCTGCTGCTTTGATTAACCATGTGTAACAGACAAAGTAATCAATTTCGTATAATTGATACTTTTTAAGTATGCTGTGAATGCGACTGGATTGGGACTTACTCTCATGAGTTGCAGAAATAGATATATCGCCGATAACGCGGCCGCAGTCAGTTCCTGTAAATCGACTGTCGCATGTGCATTTGCCGTTAATTGGATCGCATGATCCATGCTCATTGCAGTTCGCGGGGCATGCTACAGCAACGAATCCCGGTGCACTCAGCACGCTGTTCTGAATTAAAGCAACTAGTTAAGGTTAACGATAGGTAATAATTAATGTACCAGCGAACAAACGAGCATAATGCAGCTATATTCCTACCTGTCAATTTGCTCTATCAAGATCCTTGCAGGGCAGAGTTCAGCGAGGAACTTCACTGAAACTCTTCGATCGCTTTGAGTGGTGCCCACGAGAGGGACTGGATGACAGTCAGATGCATTATTTCCTATGGTAGGCAGCACTGTACCGTTGCTCAGAACCAAGCAAGGTGTCGAAAAGGGATATGTTGCTGCTGCGTCCTTACTGTGGTGAGTGTTGTCAGCCACTTTCCACCCATTAGGCAGATACGTCTCTGTGCTTTCACAGTCGCTATCTTCAAATACAACTTGTTCGGGGACAGCTCCTCCTAGTGTCGCATATAGGACGCCGGAAGGCATAACAATGCAATTCTGAATAATTGCGGGTGTGCAATCTAATGGTGTCGTGCCACTAGTTTCTTTGGGCCAGGCACAGATCATGTCATTGCTGATTGGATCACACAAACCACAGTCTCTTGCGCATGTCGAACATGTTTCTCCAGTGGTTGCGCTACACTCTCCATCGCCACATATAGGTGCACAATTACCGCAATCCAATGGACACCTGAAACAACTCTCTGTCGAGCCGCAAACCCCGTTACCACACACGTCCAAAAGTGGACAATCGATAGGGCAGTTATACGGCGTCTCATAGAAGTTGTGGTATCCCAAATCGCTACCAACTTCACAAATCCCATTCCCACACACACTATTAGTTTTAAGGCAATCATCCGGAGCTGATATGCCGTTCTCACCATCTTCGCACACGCCATTTCCAGGTATCGCTGTGCATGGGCAGTCCTGAGGACATGTGCGACACCGTTCACCGTCACCGCATATGCCGTCGCCGCATTGTGCTTTCCACTCCGTCCAAGATGTCGTCAAATTCTCTAGCACCTCTAGCCGCGGTTTCATCAAAGCGATCACTTCCGCGGACAGATTTATCTTCGGAGGAGTGGCAGATGGTGATGGTAAAATCCCGGTGGCAGTAGGTATCCCAGAAGATACGATGGGGGGCGATTCATGCGATGCCGACCCCTGTGCGGTAGCATCACTCGAGGACGAGCTCGAGAAAGTGCCGGTGGCGGCTAAAGCTCCCAAAACGATACCAGCCAGTAATAAAACGGCCAGAATAACACTTGTGATTTTTGCAGATTTTGTACAGCGCCGCTTCGTGCTGGACCAGCTTTGGAGTTGGTTTCGCTCAAATATACACTGACCATCTTAATATTTAAAAGCTGAGATTTCAGCCTTCGGATAGTTACTCACGGCAAGTATGTGATGTGAATCACGTATACAGCTGTACAATTGCTGGCATTTATATCATTCCCCTCCATATTGCGCACGATGCGAACAGACTTTTGGCACCTGTGAGCAAGGCAAATTTGCTGTGTAGTCATCTGAATCGTAGAAATGAAATACAGTTGATTCGCTACGCATAGAACAGAGCACTTCAGGCATGCGGTGTGAGGCTGTGGAGTTTGACTGTCCATAAAATTATCTAATTATATTTTATCATACCACCTATAGAGAACTATGAGTTGCTGCTCATGTGTTTGCATTGTTCTCTGTGCTCCACAGTGGATAACATTCCTTGATATACGATTTCGATGCAGCAAGGTCGAAATTCAAACACCGTAAACCACAGAGAAATCCTGTTCAATTAAAGAGGCACCGGCGTGGGTGTATTTCATAATCTTACTAAGTTGCAGGGACTCACTTCCGTTTGGATACGCAAGCCACGATCCGCCACAGCTACTTTTAATCAGATTTTGTCAAAGTAGTTGTCTTTTCTCGCAAAACGTTGAGGTACAGCTCTATTCCCAGCAGTTTCAAAACTCTACGTATCAGAAGGTATCTTTATATTGTGGCAAATAAGTGTTTAGATAGATGAGTTGACTTCAATTTAATTGTTGTTGGCAACAATGCACAGTGCCTATTGGACTTCGTTATTTGCCTATAGGAAAGTTATGCCTCGCTAACAAGTTGCTGTGTGCAGGACTATATACGTGGATTAAAATTGACCAGTGTTATACTCCGGCCATGGTCTTGAGGAAAAAAATACCTCGCACGAGGCTGCTTGGCTGTTGCCTTGAGTGTGTTCAAATCAACTGGTGGCGCGCTTGAGTTTCTGCATTGTGTATACCTACTTAATATGAGCATGTTATACATATCAAGGAGTTGTCAAGACTACAGTCGGAAGCAACCCGTTTAAGTGAGACCAACAAAATTTGCTGTAGGTAACTACCAGAATTCAATGTGGTCTGTGCAGTGTTCCAAGCAGTTAAATTGTAACCAATAGATCTGCCTATCGCTAGCTTATCCTGCATAGACTTGCAAAATACCACAATGTTTCGCAAGATAATCCGATTAATTTAAACAATCTGTCAAATAACTGTGCGAATAAAGATCATGACCCTCGTGTTCTCTGACACCTAATAGTATATGCACTCGTGGTGTACGTGACATGTACAACTACAACTCAAGTTTTTACGTCGGTACTATGACTTGTCATTACGGCGATTTCCTGGCATTCTCTGTCATTTTATTATCAAAAATGCACACCAGAGCTCATACTACAGCATTTTTATACGACAACGAGATCGTATAACCAGCCTCACAATATCTCACGTTTGTATGATCTGCTAGTGAGTTTATTCGTTCACCTATATTTGTTTAATCTCAAAAAGATGGCCCACGGTCTTTAGCATGTCCATGTATTTCTCTGTGATATTTGTGCCCTACTTCTCTAAATTCACACCATAATCATGCCTTGCTACCTCAGAATGTATAAATGGCTTGTACTCATCACAACTGTGTGACCAAACACCCGTAACCAATACGCCTGAGCATTACCAGCCACTTTTGCGGGTTCATGAGCAAAGTACACAACATTCTCCTCATCTACCGCATGCAAACAGTTGTGTTGACTGTACCCGACTCCATACCAACTACTTCATCATTTCATTTGCTTTCTATGAGTGCACACATCGTCAGTATGCACCTATCTGTATGATTCTACATCGCCTACGGTGTCTGTATGCAGATGCTGTGGGAATTTATCATGCTTTATTATGCTCGATTGCTACACTTCACTATGGGACAATTGAATCGTAGTATATCATTCATTAGCGAATATTGGTGCTGTCGTGAACTTCAAACCCTGATTACCTATGCCACTCGCATACATATGCTCACAATATGTGCATACAATATACTAGTAGACAAATGTATGGCGTCTCACTTTGGACGCCAACCCCCTCTACAGGACCGTGGCAACGCACACCTCTGTATTTGCATATACTCTCTGCCTTCGTTCACAATACTATAAAAAGGTAATCAAACACATTAGTGACTTAGCAACATATTATATATATATTT